AAAAATTTTAAATTTTTTTAATTATCATCCTAGCACATATAGGCAGAACTTATGAGAATTTTTAAAAGACTTTGCCTCTATTAGAATGAGAAATTATTCAAAGTCAATATCTACTCGAACTCGATGGAGGCGTTGTCTCTTATTGATAACAACTATTCTAAGAGTCACTTTTTATTTAACATTATCAAGAATGTTAGAGATCTCACTATAAAAGATTGAATGATTATCTTTAATCATGTCTATAGAGAAGAAAATATATGTGCTGACTCTTGACTCATCAAGCAATACTCAACAACTTTAATATTTAAATCTTTAATGAATAACTATAAAATTATAAAATTTTTTTAATTTTAGATATAATTAAATTTTAAACATTCTGTATGGTTTTTCGTGGCTTTATATTAAAAAAAATGAGGGACCCTACGGAGGAAAACAGAACACTCTGACACACTCTCCCAGACATGTACACAAACGAAATCAAAAACCCAGATATCAAAAATCAGATGGACAAGTCAGATTCAAAACCATCAAAATTGAGCAAGATAGTAATCAAGCCATATTTACATAAACCCATATATCAAGAATAAAATCGAACAGATCTGCACAAATCTCTTTAGGCCAGTGATTACAAAAGAAAAAAAAAAACAAGGAAAAAACCCAGAATATTCTAACCCATAAAAGCATCGTGCAAGAGGAAAGCCCGTCAATTGATTCTGGAGGCTGTTATAATGAAGGCCCAGCGACCATTCCGGCAAATGGAGGTGAGGTCTAGTTCGAGACCGACAAGGGAAAGGAAGAAGAGAAGACCTATGCTGGCGACGAATTTGAGTATGGAAGTGCTCCAAAACGGGAATAAAAAGCACATGAATACCAACTCATGGCTTCATCGAAGAGAAATCAAACAAGAAATCAGAGTTCACTGGCGAGTCCAGTTGATTCGTCCACGGCTTGGTGAGGCGGAGCGACTTGGTGATTTGAACCCAACTCACCGGCAAGTCTAGATGAGAAATCTAAGAGCAATGGCAAAGCAAGGAGCGATTTGTCCAAAACCTTCAACTCTGTAGATTGAGGAAGGGGCTTATGGCAGAGGAAGGGGAGACGAAGAGGAGGAAGAAAAGGCAGCATCACGATCTGTTCGAGTGAGAGAAGAGGAATGAAGATTGAAGCAATGAAGGAGACAAAGAGGGGGTAAAAATTTTTTAGAAAAAAAAAAAAAAATCTGAGGTGGATGGTTAAAGTATATATTTTTTCGAAGTAAAGCCAATATATTAAAGGTTTTGGTTTGATTTTGTACATTTTTTAAAACTGAATATTTTATATTTTTAAATAAAATAATTTTATCTCTAAATTATTTTTCAGATCAGCAATAACTCCTTGTTAATTAGCTGTTAGTTTTTTTATTTTTTGCCAACATAACATATATGTGGGGCCTATGTACAATTACATATAAGGTGTAAAATATCTTTTGATATTAATTTACACTTGAACTCTATTTTTAAGAGCATTAAACACTCTAAATTTTTTTTTTAAAGTGCTGGACATTCTAAGATCTTATTAAAATAAAATTAAATAAATATTATTAAAATATTAAATATTTTAATATATTTAAAATATTATACTGCCCAATTTAATATTTTAATTTGATATTTTATAATTTTATATTTAAAATGAAATGAATGAAGCTCTAAATTAATAGATTTTTTTTTCTCATCTCTTCATTTTTTATTTTTTTCTTTTATTAAGTAAATTTTTTTATAGCATATTAATAAAATAAACAATATCTTTTAAATAAATATTTTTGTTAGTTCTAATTTGTCATGTTTATGATTTAATTATCAACATTGCAACATACACGGAGTATTAGATTTGGGTAATGTAATATTTTGAAGAAAGATCATTAATTGATTAAAAAAATTAAGAAACTTAACCAATATTCGACACGTATAAAAGATGTAATAATTTAAATACTATATCAGAGAAAATATCAAATATCGATATATAAAAAATAAATAGTCATCTATAAATTTATAAAATACTTGAACAAATAATATTTTAAATATAAAAAGTATTAAATTGGGCAGTGTAATGTTTTAAATAATAATATTTAAATTATTAAATATTAAAATATTTAATATTTTAACAATATTTAATAAATTTTATTTAACAAGACTTTAGCGTGCCCAACTCTTCAAGAAAAAACTTTAGAATGTTTAGTACTCCTAAAAAAAGAGTTTAAAAATAAATGAGTATTAAAAAATATGATTAAAGTCTTACATATTATTGTAATGGAGACCCAAGCACATGACATGTTAGCAAAAAATGAATAAATTAAAGGTTGATTAACGAAAAGAGATTTTTTTTTCTCTAAAAAATAATTCAAGGATAAAATTATTTTATTTAAAAATATAAAATATTTAATACTTTTAAAAAAATAAATACATGAGTAAAATTAAATCTTAACCTTATACTAAAATATCAAACGGCTACAAGCAAAATGGGCTTTCACAACTAAAACTGAAAAGCCCATGATAAGAGTTTGACTAACGAAAAAAAGGAAAATAAAATGGAGCCCAAATAGAAAAATAACATCGAATTGAAAACGAGCAAGGGCTAGAACTATAACACCCCGACCCATCCTGTAATTTGTGAACATGCAAAGAATGTGAGGAGCTCGCTGATGCAGGATAAGTAACCAATCCAAAGAATGGTCCATTAAGAATCTTGAAAAGCACCGCGACCCATAGAACCAAATGATTTCCAATGAAAAAGGAGATCAATGGAAGACAAAATATCTCATAGAATTTGAAAATCCAGATCCACAACTGCTCTGGTTTTCAAAAAACTCATATCTGCACGTACCAAAATAGAACAAAGAGGACCAAACAGACAGACACATACATTCACCATACAAACAAAAATAACAAACTAAAAACAAAGATACACAAGACAACTAAGGAAACAACAATAGTGACATCCTAAAAATCGTAGTGCCTGATGATAGACCCCGATGTAACAATCCATGAAGGTTCCTCAAGGAATCATCCTTTGGACGAGGTTTTCTGACTAAAACCTCGTTAAGCCCAACTGAGAAAGGAAGCTCTGTTTGCACCTCACAAAACAGAGCAAAACTCTGCTTATGGTTAGAGTATATGTGAACTCTGTTTTCTGGGAAGTTTGACAATAGTGGAAATATGACAATGGGATAGTTATAAAATTGCAGTGCCTGATGATAGACCCCGATGTAACAATCCATGAAGGTTCCTCAATGAATCATCCTTTGGACGAGGTTTTCTGACTAAAACCTCGTTAAGTCCAACTGACAAAGGAAGCTCTGTTTGCATCTCACAAAACAGAGCAAAACAATGCTTATGATTAGAGTGTATGTGAACCGTCACATACTAATTTTCAATCAACAAAATTTTTATTTAACAGTTAAACTTAACCCCAATTGATGGCAGGGGCAAAAATTCTCTAACCTTAAACGTTTAAGGGCAAGAATAGACCAAAGTTGAATTTGGGATATTGGGTGTCTTTTTGAGGATAGTTCAAGGATAGAAATGAATATTGATCTTAAATAATAACTCCACTGTGGTAGCTTCACTAACTAGAGACCCACACATCTCTTGCGTTACACGTGTCTGGGAAGTTTGACAACAGTGGAAATATGAGATCCAAGGGAGAGAATAATGAACTTCTCATTTGGTGCTGGGTAGATCTACTGCCGCTCCTTATAGCTAGCTGGAATGTGTGTACCAAGAAATGAGTCGGCCATCAAACAGGCGTGTAAGCCGAATATGTGGAGATCTGCTTTTTTATATTTTTTAATATTAAATTAAATCATTTAAATTATATTTCAATTGACCTGGACAATTAAATTATAAAATTACAAAAAATTTTAATATTAAAGTAAATTATTAGATTAAATCTATACTAATAAGATTGATAATAAATATATTTATTAAAATTTTAAAATTTTTATATTAATAAATATAATATTAAGAATATTTAAAAATTAATTTAAATCAATCATAGAAATTAATTTAAATTGAAATGGAGAGTTAGGAGGGTGATGAGCACGCGGCACCATTCGGTATCTGCCGCCTATTCATTAGTTGACGCTTCCAAAAATATATAATACTCTACTACTGTTAACATTATACACCAAAAACCCCAGAAGTCGTTGCCTCTGATCATTTTTTTGGTTCTCATCATCACATGCTCACGTTCTCGGTTTTGTCTTGGCCCCGCCATTCAATGTTCATAACTTCGTACGCTCGCTTTTTTGTAATTTTGGTTTCCTTCACGCAGTCCGCAGAACACTCTTGCTTTTACGTCCTAAATAAAAGCTTTTGTTTTTGGCTAAATAAATATACGGTTAAACTTTATTTGAGCCAAATTATTTGTTTTCATCGGCCTTGGACGCGTGGGAAGGCACGGACTAGTGACCAGAATTACTACGTTCCTGTTTCACCATCGTCCCAGCATACATCAATAATTACAAACCCTGTTTATTATAAATCAACAATTAAACAGCTCCAAGCCACTTTCGTCTTTCTCCCTTTTCAAAATTGCCGTACATGCTCTCATCCTCAAGTGGAAATCAATTTTTTTACTGTTGTATATATTCAGGACTTGAACTTGATTATATATATATATATATATTACGACTTGACGTAGATCAAGCTCTGATTGATTACTCGTGTGGATAAATTTCGGGTGCTCTATTTATATAGTTCTTAATTTATTTAAACATGATTTTTTATTATGATGTATATTTAGTTTAGTGCTTTTTTTTTTACAAGATTTGCAGCAGCAAAAACTCAATTTAATGGAGCGTGATGTTTACGCGTCCTTACAGCCACGTGACGTGCGTCTTGATGCCTAGTATCTAAAAGCAAGCATTACTTTACATTCACCAAAGCCCAAAAAAATAAAAATAATAAAGATTTCTTTATCACCGAAAATTTACCGTTGAGAGGGGACACGTGTCCGCATGATTATCCACCTGTCTTCCTTACTCCCAGTTGGGATTCCATACCCACGTCTCGGTCTTTGTTTCTTTGCTCGGGTTGGTTCTGCTCGAAGGCAAAGAATACTCGCAACTCACAACGTCATCTGCCTCCATCCCTCACCTTGTTCGCCCGTGAACGATCCTCCTCCTCCGCAAAATATCGGCAATTCAACCGCTCACTGCCACGGTTTCCCAATGGGATTTTACCGAAACTGAGCAATGTTGCTAATTTCCAGCGTATTCTCAACTATCATCTTTATCCCCTTCGCATTGTTTCTCTGCTTCACCAGCTGCGTCTTTACAGTCGCCATCACTGAATTCGACTTCGGCACTTTAACTTTAAGCAGTCTCAAACTCCTCGGAGATGCTCACTTGGACAATGAAAGTGTCAGGCTCACAAGGGATCTCGCCGTCCCCAACTCTGGTTCCGGCAGAGCTCTCTACTCCAAACCCGTCAGATTCAGGCAACCCGGCACTCACAATCCGGCGAGTTTTAATACCTATTTCTCCTTTTCAATTACTAATCTGAATCCATCCTCCATTGGTGGGGGAATCGCTTTTCTAATGGCGCCGGATGCTGAGACCCTCGGTGACGCCGGCGGCTTCCTTGGCCTCCTTAAAGCGGATGGCTCTTCCTCGGGTTTTCTGGCGGTGGAATTCGACACTCAAATGGATGTAGAGTTCAAAGACATTAATGGAAATCATGTGGGTCTGGACCTGAATAGTATGGTTTCGACACATGTTGGCGACCTGGAATCTGTTGGAATCGATCTAAAAAGTGGCGATCTTGTAAACGCATGGATCGAATACAACGGCTCAACAAAGGGCTTTAACATCTGGGTTTCCTACTCAAACATTAGACCAAAAGATCCCCTCCTCTCATTCGATCTCGATCTCGATCAGTACGTAAATGACTTGATGTACGTGGGTTTCTCCGGCTCTACGCAGGGAAGCACGGAGGTCCACAGCATATCGTGGTGGAGCTTTAGCTCGTCCTTCGACTCCAATTCGCCTTCCGGATTGGGTTCATCGGTTCCGCCGTCGCCTCCAACTTTAAGTACGATGAACTCAACTGCCAGTTCCGTGAAGTCGGCACCTCCTTCATTGGCTCCTGCAGCTTCGAATACTCAACCAGAGAATACTAAATCGACCTGTCACAACGAGATCTGTAAGCAAAATCCTGGAGCCGTCGCGGGGGTTGTGACGGCGGGGGCTTTCGTTTTAGCTTTGTTCGCCGGTGCATTCATTTGGGTGTGCTCAAAAAAGATCAAACACGTTAAGAAGTCCGAGTCACTTGCCTCAGAAATCATAAAAATGCCAAAAGAATTTAGTTACAAGGAGCTCAAATCAGCCACCAAGTGCTTCAATGCCAATAGAATTATTGGTCATGGCGCTTTTGGAACTGTGTACAAGGGTATATTGCCAGAGAACGGCGACATCATCGCGGTGAAGAGATGCAGCCACAGTAGTCAGGGGAAGAACGAATTCTTATCTGAATTGTCCATAATCGGGTCTCTCAGACATCGGAATCTTGTTCGTCTTCAAGGATGGTGCCACGAGCAAGGTGAAATCTTATTAGTCTACGACTTAATGCCCAATGGGAGTCTAGATAAAGCGTTATTCGAGGCCCGGACACCTCTACCATGGCCGCACAGGCTTAAAATTTTGTTAGGCGTTGCCTCAGCCCTCGCATATCTGCATCAAGAGTGCGAAAACCAGGTAATTCACAGAGACGTGAAGACAAGTAACATAATGTTAGACGAAGGGTTCAATGCCCGGCTGGGCGATTTTGGTTTAGCTCGTCAAACAGAACACGACAAGTCGCCCGATGCTACGGTGGCGGCGGGGACAATGGGGTATCTGGCACCGGAGTATCTCCTCACAGGTAGAGCCACAGAGAAAACTGATATATTCAGTTACGGTGCGGTGGTTCTGGAAGTGGCCTGCGGAAGAAGACCCATTGAGAAAGATGCGAATGGAGCTGGTAAGGTAGGGGTGAGCAGTAATCTGGTGGAGTGGGTATGGAATATGCACAGAGAAGGGAGGTTGCTAATGGCGGCCGATGCGAGGCTGTGCGGTGAGTTCGACGAAGCAGAGATGAGGAGGGTGCTATTAGTCGGGCTGGCCTGCTCACAGCCCGACCCGTTTAACAGGCCCACGATGAGGACGGTGGTTCAGATGTTGGTGGGTGAAGCCGACGTCCCGATTGTTCCGAGGACTAAGCCAGCCACTAGTTACAGCACATCCCACCTCTTAATGAACTTACAGGACAGCGTTTCAGACGGCAACGGCGTAATCGCCGTCACTTCCTCCTCGTCAGACAACAGCTCCAACGTTGAAGATGTAGTGTGATGCAGATCAACGGCCGGATCATCCCCCTTGTTATCTATCAACTCAGTGTATATATATAAAAATAAATTCATTTATTCATGCATGTAGACGTAGACGTAGGTAAACTGCAGCAACATACTGCTGGGATACACCTTTTTGAACATTACTTGAATGGGATGGTGGTGGGGGCATTGGACACGCAGGAAGGAGTCGATGGTTTGGTTTGGGAAAAAGGGCGAAGTGTAGTAGGGATTTGGAAAAGCAAAAGAGAAGGAGGACTAGGACGGAGTTCTGTTGTTGGTGACAGCTTAACCATCATATTGATGTCGGAGATTTTGCAACGAATAACAATTCTATATTGCAACGGCTTGTCATTTCTGACGTTAATTTTTGTTAAAGGGGAGCCCAATTGTGTGTTTAATTCGTGGCTGATCTTAATCACCTTCGGACCAACGTCTCTGTGGAGAAACTTTTGGGGCTCACTCATATTTGGGCGTCGGCTGGTGACATCCAGCTCCCGCTGACTTTTCATCTCGTAAAGCATCATTCTCCGTTTTACGTATGCTTTGAGAATATTTGTTAATTCAACAATCACAACATTATAAGAATATAAAACTGTCACCGGGCAATTCATTATAAAAAAAAAAAAATCAAATTCCGAGCAACCTCCGAGTTGCATCTTTCCATCACATTTTATAATATACTTTTAGAAATAATTTGATATCTTAAAATACAAGATATTTTCAACAAAATGTTGTTCCATTAATGAAGATTATTCTCAGGCCAAAAAAAATTAATGAAGATTATTCCAATATTACTCTTCATTATAAAAAAAATTAAAATTATATACTATATCTAATGAATTTTATTAGTGTGAGTAATTCTATTAAGAATATCTTTATAAAAATTATTAGCAAGTTATAAAATTATGAACATCGTGAATTTTTAAGAAAATTGCTACGCGGAAAGCTACTACCCAAATGTTGATAATTGCAAATTCACGACCATTTGATCGAGTATTCGAATGGAGTGGCTATAGTATTACTAAGTAAAATTTTGTATTCAAATTACGTAAATAGAGGGAAAATATGTATGAAGTATAGGTTTGATTAATGGTGAATAAAATTGATAGAGATTGGATTCAGAAATTGTCCCGTGATAAATTTAATCCCTCTGATCCTATGTGATCCTATATTAAATTATATGTTTTGGGATAATAAAATTCTAGTCTCCTAAATTTAATTGAATGATCTATATGATTGATCTAGTTTAATTTTTATCACTCTGATCTTTTAAATTTCTATCAATTATTAATTTATTTTTTTCTTTTTAAAGAGGAGGTTACACATCAAAAACATGCTCGCACAAATAGTAAAATATTGAGTTGATAATCATATAGATTAATTAAAAGAAGTGTAATTAATCATAAAAAAGTGAGAGAATGATATTAATTTTTTTTTTGAAATATGTAAATAATAAATAGGTACTGTGAAATGTGGTAATTATTTTTAAATGTTGAGAGACTTAATTGACATTTTGTAAATGACATATTTGCCCTTATTTTCCTTCCCTCTCTCTTCATCTTCCTCTTTGTCTCTATCTTCCTCTTCCTTCTTTGGTCACATCTTCACCCTCTTGGACCAGGGCTGTGTGAAAGAATTTTAGGACCTAACGCAAAATTATCTAGGAGACTTAATGTATTATTATTTATATATCTTTATATAATTTTTTGAGCCTTTTGAACTGCAAAATTAAATATTAAATTTTTATAATCAAGTAAATATAACATTTCATGTCTAGTAAATAATATAAATAATTCACTAAATCTATTTTCTTTTTTTTTTTGGAGCAAAAACTAAATCTATTTTCTAACATGATTGATTTTAAATAAAATTTAAGCAATTTTAATTTTAAAAAACTACTTCTAACAACAGCAACTGTTACTAGTATTCTTAATAATATTCTATAAATAATAAAAAATGATTAATTATACAATATATAACATCAAACGTTAACAAAAAAAATAATAATTGGTTATATAAGATACAAGTGAACTATTTTTAAGACCTAAGATGGCCGTCATATTGGCCAAAGGCACGACCCTATCTTGGACCCCACCATCTCCTCTACACGTCATCAACTCCCTTCTCTTCCTGTGCGAGAGTCGAACAAAACTGCACTACTTGTACATGCCCACCCATTCAATTCAAAACACAAATATATAGAAATAATAAAAGTCAAACGGCTAGCTATGTTTTACCCACCAGACCATATTGGTTTGTAAGCTGCCGGTGCGCTCCACCGTCCGCGGCCACAGCTTCGATGCTAGATGAATCATTAGAGGGGGTAACCTTAATTGCATGGATACAAATATGAATATTCAATACGATACAACATGATACAATAATGTAACAAATTTTTAAAATTTTAAAATATGAATATAAGAATATTTATAATGTATATTTTAATATTTTATGATATAAGTATATGTATTTTAATTTTTAAACAATATATAATAAAATTTATAACAATCAATCAAAATATTAAATATTTTTTTAAGTTTTTAAGTGATATAATAAAAAATTATTAAAAAAAATTATATTATAAATGTTAAAATATGAAATATGTATGTAGAAATATTTTATAAATATTATATCAGATATATATTAAATACAGATATATTTATTTATTTTTTTAAAGTATCCGTGCTTCATAGGGCCAATTCATCGGGCAGTTGGCTTCGCCTTTATGCCCCAAGTTCCAGGCCACAAAAACACCAGGACTCACATGGAAGAAGACAACGTGCAGACGAGATGGATGATTAGAGGAGTGTGTGGCGGCCAAGCTTAGCTACGTAGAAATGATGGGGCTCAAGAGGGTGGAGATGTGGTGGGAGAAGGGAGAGAGAAGGAGAGCGAGAGGAAGAGGAAGGGGAAATGGAAATGAAGGTAAATATGTCATTTTATAAAAAGCTAAAATGTATGAAATTTAAAAATAATTTTTACATTTTATAATATTTATTTATCATTTTTATATTTAAAAATAATTTTATTTTCATTCTAAAAAAATGATAAGTTTGAAAGAAAATAACTAAAGGAAAATAAAAAATAAGGAATTAAAAGTAGAAGAAGAAAATGAGAAAAGAAACATATAATAAACTAATTTGTCTCATCTAAACATTTGTATTTCAAAATCTAATAACTAATGTGATATAACTTTTTTTAAGACAATATAAAATATTAAATTTTTAAATATTAAATTGATAATTGATACACAAGTTTTAGATATTGAAAACATTATTATTATTTTTTAATAGAATTTTGTCTTACATTAACGCACGCGGATGGGGGACAACAAGCGTTTTGAAGCAATATATAATTACGGCGTCAGCGTTCTACCCCTTTTCTGGAATCTACTCGCTTTGCTGTGAAAACCAGGCCGCTCCCTAAGCGGGTGGATCTGTTAGATTTTGCGCGGCAGCCATGGCCGATGACTTTGATTTTGCTGATAAAGTCCCTCCTTCTTTCGATCGCGTGGTGCTAATCTCTTTCCTCTCTTTGTTTCCATCCTTCTTTTTCTTTCACGATCGCATATCATATCATTTAGATCTGTAAATGACACGTTCAATTATGTAATTTTTTCGCGCGGTAGTTGTCTTGCGTCAATGAATCTATACTTTGGATGATCCAATTGACATATCTAAATTCATTTGGAGTCTAATCTTAATATGTATTTATTTATTTATTTATTTTTATGAATAACGTCACTTGCCAGCACCTGAAATCCTTTTCCGCTCAGTACTGAAGTAGATCATGGCATGCATGAGAGTGGGCATGTTCTTTACTGCTCAGATCTTCGATTTGGTAAAGGAGTTTGATGGACGATTCAGTTTTTCTTGTAATGGCCAGAAATTTTTCCTAAAGAAAGGCAAAATATTGTGACATTTATTCTGATATAGACTGCTAGTTATTAACATGGGAAAATATTGGTTTTCCATTCAAGCCTGTGCCTTTTGCCTAACTTAGAGAGAATTTTAGCGTGTCCCTTCATGTATTTAAGCAAAAAGGCTTTCTTGATTCGTTTGAATAATTCTTCCGTGGAGTCAATATCAATTAGGAATGATACTTTCATTTTTTTAAAAAAAATTTAACGGCGATATTGATATAGGTGTTCCATTTCAAATGTCGGGAGTCCTTTTGAGATGTTGCATGGAGCACAATTCCTTTAATTCACTGCATTATTAACTATTCTAATGTCAATATATCAGTTCGATGCACATGTATAGAGAAGTGGGGCCTAGCCATCATGTTCCGGCAACAAATGCAGTTATAAGAAATGAACTAAAGTTCTTGTACGTTGCTATAGGAGTTTGGTAAGAAATGTAAGGAGAAACGATATCATATATAACAAGATTGAAGGTATTATTTGGCACTAAATTTGGGGGGTGGGGAAACGGTCCTGGAAATTACGCTCACAGGGTGAAACTCTTACATTAAATGTCTTCATCTCATTGTGATAGCATTTGCATGTTAACGAAGGCCATGATTTTTTCCACTATTAGCTTTGAATCTTCAATTAAGACATTTTTGCGCCATGTCATATATGGTTCCCTTTCTCTTGATCATCTCCCCCCCCCAAAAAAAAAAAAAAGAAACAGAAAAAGAAAAGAAAAGAAGAGAAAAGAAAAAATAAAAAAAAAGATATGGAGGCCCCAACCTGATCAAAACCATGGTTGATATGTTATTCTGGCTATAAAGGTGTTCAAGAATTGTAAGTGGTGAATTAGTTGTCTATAATTTTTATCTGTGTACATTAATTTTGCAGTTTCTTCTTGTTGATTTCTTTCTGATGTGTTTTTCTATCATGTCATTTAGGGAGATGTGATTAAGAATTCTGAAGCCAAAGGATTCAATCCAGGGTTAGTAGTTCTCCTGGTTGTTGGTGGGCTGCTATTGACATTCCTCATTGGAAATTATGTCCTTTACATGTATGCACAGAGAACCCTTCCTCCTAGAAAAAAGAAGCCAGTCTCGAAGAAGAAGATGAAGAGGGAGAGACTGAAGCAAGGCGTTTCTGCACCTGGAGAGTAGAGATTTGGTATTCACTGTATTCTGTGCTGTTAAGGTGTACTCTTCGTCAAAAATTTTCTCCATCTTTGTTCCTTAGGATGCTAATTTTATCTTGTCCATCTTTTTTTTTTTTAAGAGAATTTAAATTTCGCCACATAAACTAGTATTTAAGTAATATTATGAAGTGAACGGTTATTTTAATCACTTTTTTTTTGTAGTTCATGGGCTGGGACTAAAATACTAACTAAGCCTGTCAAACTGCTCAAGTATTTTGGATCGCTGCGTTGTGAGCTTCTTGATGCGTCTTTCCTGTTTTTACAGGATACTTCTGTTTTTCTCTCTGTTGGGTGCTGCTATCTGTATGAATTAAGAGATGATGTCATGCAAAATTTGTTTGAGTGAAGCCGTCCTTGAAGGGATTAGTTTCTTGATTTTTGGAGGGTGAAGTAAATAAAAAGTTGCGTCAATGGGAAGAAAGTTGGTTGTAGGAAGGGATGAATGAATAGTTGGATAGCCTTTATTTTTGGATTAAATGGGGTACTAGACTTTGATTCTGTGATAATGGAAAATTTTGGAATTTTTGGAATCCATAGTTCTGTATAGGAATTGCAGGGGGTGGGGGAATGATTTAAGATTGTATGTAGTTTTCTTATATGAATTGTGAGAATGTGCTAATCTTCGTAGATAATGGAATGATCATTTCATGTTTCTGGGAAGGAACGAAGCAATTGTTCATAATGAAAGTGGTTGATGCCGCAACATATGATGGCTTTTGATGAGTTCAGTTCAACCCAGTAACTGTAACTGATCCATCCAGTATTGACGAATTAAGACTCAAGGTTAGGACAGCTCAGTATGTCAGATAGGTAAACCAAGGGGATTCTCCCTCACATTTCAAAAGGGCTATGGGTATCCTTGCTTTTTAAAAAGAGCAGTGTTGTTTTGAAAGGGTTTTTTTTTTTTTTTTAAGGTACAATTTTATCCTACTGTTAACTTGGACTGACTTTGACTGTTAAATTTTTTGTTTTGATTGATAATTTGACACGTGTCTTGCTCTCCCCTTTCTTGAACTGTTCTGATTCTCTCCTCCTCTTTTACCTTTCGTCTTTTCCATCTTCTTCCTTCTTTTCCACTGCTGGTAAAATCAAACTCAACAATAATCAAATTGAAAAGGCTTATCCAATTAAAAGATTAATCTTTTTATCTCAATCAAACCCAAATTTGTTTAGAATTTTTTTTTAAAAAAAGAGGAATTTCATTTTCACAGCCAATTCACAATCAGATTCAATAATCAAAATATAGAGCCAAGACCTTAGCTAGAATTCCCTCAACCAAACCTTTCTTGTTGCAATGTATATACACCTGAAGGTTCACATGTAGGATTTTTAGCCGGCTATTTAGGGAGCAATTTTTCTTCCTTCTTCAATGATTTCAACAGCCAATTGAATCAAAAGAAGGAAAGAAAACATCAAAGTACAACTTAGTTTCCTTCAATAAGTATAAGAGGTTGGGGATTGAGGGGAGTGCAAATCTTGACATGCCCATACACGAATGAAAAGCACGCACTATCTCTCTATTCTCTGTTTGGTTTCACTGCCGTTACTAATTTTCATTTCCTAAGATTATCTTGTTTATCCATCTTTGATTTCCCATACTGTTGTAGATAAAGATCTCCAACGCAATGAACCTACCCGTCGAGGAAGCTCATTGCTGATTACTGTACGCCCTCTCCAAATCATTCATCACCCTCTTCTCCATCTCTGCCTCTTATTAATGTTAGTTCCTACCTAAGCTCAAACTTCGATGAATCCATTTTTCTCTAGTTCAATGTCTGCTCTCGGCCTTCTCTTTCTTGTTTCTTAAAAAAAGAAAATAAGAAAAGGGAACAAAGGACTTCAGATCCACTGGCAGTTGAAATTCAGAAATTTTTTATTTAAAAAATGTTTTTCTGAATTTATGCTCCGTCTCTTGACCACATACCTGCTTGTGCGAGTTCTTGGCAAGATCAGCTCCAACGCAAATCGGAAACCATTGTTTGAAAGGAGTTCCTTTGAAGGAGGGCTAGGGTTGAAGAAGTGAAATACAGGGATAAGAAACAATGGATTCCCTCACATTTTCTTCCTTTGCAGCATAGCTGTATTGGGATTCCAAATTAGTAATAGGTTTTTCCCTATAGCGAGAAGATGAACGAGAACAAGGAAGAAGAACTAGCAGATGACACGTAAAATTTGTCAAACTAAGAATTAGCGGTCAAACGTTAGTCGAATATATTGGTTGGACAAAATTGTATTCTTTTTAAAGTTTTGGAACAACATTATTCTTTCTTAAAGATGAAGATAGCCATATGTCACAACCTTAGAACTCTTTTGTCCTTGAATCATGTCGACTTTAACGTGATCAATCTCTTGATCTTTATTAAGTCAACTTAACCCTCAAAATATAAGCAAAGGAATTAGAAAATTTGAACACAAGAGAAAAAAGAGCTTGGATGAGAGATTTTGAAAGTTTATAACTTTGCTTATTGCTTACAAATGAAAGGGTATTTATGGACCTCCCCCTTTCTTTAAAAAATTTCAATCTCTTTAACGAATGGTAGAGATTAATCAAATCCTACGATGTATATTCATCCTCTAGAGTGTTTTGTAGAAATGTCTACAATAAATATTTAAATATTTACAAAAATGTTTTTAGAGACAAACATTTAAGATACATGTGAAATATTTTAAAACTTCCTAAAATATGTCAGAATATTCTAGAGATATTCAAGTTCCTTCATAAGTTTCTAGAATCTTGTAGAAACTTTTAAATCTTTATTGATTTCTTTAGATAATTTTAGATTGTTCTAGATGCTTCTAGAACATTCTAAAACATATTAAATTTTTCTTGAATGTCTTGAACTTTTTCAGACTTCTCATCCTGGACATCTCTAAAACACCTAAACCTTATAGGTTCTTCTCTTTTTAGACATAGGTTGTGACATTATCCCTTACTTAATCCAATGATGCCCTCATTATTGACTTGATTCACATACCAAGGATTCTTCTTGCAAGGATCTTCCTTCTTCTTTGTTACAGGCCCATTACTCTTCTCCTAAAAAACTAGCTCATCGGAGTGCGGTGCATACCTTTCTCCCCTTCCATCCATGATGACCATGCCATTCTATTCACGGGTGATCAAAGTATCATTACCTTTTCTCCTACAAGCTGACTTAGTATGACGTGTAGCGCACCCGCGTGTATAGCTAAGACCCTCCCTAAAGTCTCTTTGATGTGGGATGTAATAATTCCTCCAAGCAATCTGTAACTCCTCCCTCATCGATGGCTTATCAGAAGGGCCCATTGACTTGGCAAACTTGAGTCTGACTTAGACCTTCAACATAACTGTTTACCCTTTTAAATTCTCTAAGAGTTTGATCTTCCAGCATACTCATATCATCCTCAATTTTCTCAACCTTATAAACCATCTCTTCCATGGTTCTCTTTAAGACATTGATTTTAACCAACAAAATAGCAAGGTCCTCCATGTGCATCGTACTAATTCCTTGTGCCTTCTTTCCACCATGGTGTAAAGGTTGAAATTCCCCTCTCCTCTCTTCTACATTAGCAAGAGTCTCCTCAATTACACCCGACATCCTCGCCTACAAGTATGAATTTGAATCATAGCTACCTCAAACCTTGGCTTTGCTAACATGTTGTCACCACTTTGGAACTCCTTTATCCTTAAAATGTGCTGGCCTTAGCGTGATCAATCTTTTGATCTTTGCTAAATCAGCCGAACCCTCAGAATGTAGACAAAGAAATTAGAAAACTTGAACATAAGAGAGAAGAGAACTTGAAAGTTCATAACTTTACTTACTTTGCTTGTTGCTTGCAAATGAAGATTGTGGGGGTATTTATAGGCTTCCCCCTTTCTCTAAAAAAATTTTCACCTCCTTAACAGATGGTGAAGATCTATCAAATCCTACGGTGCACATTCATTCTCTAGAGTTTTCTATACAAATATTTACAATAAATATCTAAATATTTACAAAGATATTTTTAGAGACAAATCTTTAAGATATGTGTGGAACATTTTAGAATACTTTAAAATATTCTAGAATATTTTAGAGATTTCCAAGTTCCTCCATCATAAGTTTCTAGAATCTTTTAGAACTTTATGGATTTCTCTAGATAATTCTGTATTATTCTAGATGCTTTTAAAACATTTTAGAACATATTAGATTCTTTTTGAACGCTTTGGACTTTCTTGAAATTCTTGTCCTGGATGTCTCTAAAACATCTAAACCTTGTAGGTTTTCCTCTTTTTAGACATAGGTTGTGACACATAGCTCTTCGAAGAAAATTTTTGAGATAGTTTTGCCCCTTAACCCTGTCTCAAATACTGGTTCTAACATAATCGCGTGATTGAAAGTTTGCTACTTTTTAATCTTAACCTAACCTTGTGATTCCGATCTTCTTTGAAGACATAGAAAATAGAGATATGAAAGCTTTTTTTTTGTGATTATAATGCCAACATCTCAACTAGGATCACTCACCTTTATTTTGATGGTAACTGGCCTCTTGAACACTATTACTAAATATCAAGAAACAAGATACCGCAAAGGTTACATCAGCCGAAAGGAAACAAGCTCTTCTACATTCACTCTCGCGTGCTGCTGCATGGAGAAGTTGGAGATAGAAATCATTTTAAGATTCTATTATGAAGGATGATGTCCGTTAACTGTTATGAAAGGGTGTTAATTTTCATGGCTGTGGAAGGTTTAGCAGAGATCCTGAGTCTCTGTTTTTTTGGGCATTAGATGTACTGATTTACTTTCCATTTTCATTTCACTGTTTTCGTATCTGCCAAACGGGTCCTAAATGTAGTCAGAAGATTTGCCCAAAAAACAGAATCATTAGAGCATTGGTCCGCTTTACTTTGATTTAATTTTTCTTTTGTAATTTAGCATCGACCTTGTTATTCGGACGATAGAACAGCTGAACAGCACATGAAAAATATGCCCCCTGCCTACACAAAATTAAAAAAAAAAAGAAAAGAAAAGAAAAGAAAAGAAAAAGGAAGGAAGGGAAAAAAGGAATGCAGCACCAAATTTAGGTTCCCCCGTTCAGCAGATGCTGAATTTGAAGCCGGAAGTGCGATGTAACAACCTACAAGATTGGCTTCTTAAATTACAGATTATAAGTAGATTAGATTGGTGAGTGGTCTATCGTTACTCATTCAATACGTGTTTCACAATTAGAAATTTTATTATATAATACTTAAAAAATATAAAATTTCAAATTTTTTAAAAGGATAATATACGTGAGAAGTATTCTAATAATGAAAATTGTTTTAAATTTTTTTAAAAAATATATTTTAATAACGTTAAAATATTGATGAAATTCAAAAATTATAATTAGAATATTCATTAATTGAGTGAATTCAAACTATTGACCGTGCCCAAATCCGTCAAAGTTCCTTAATATATATTTAAGCAATAGCAAGTCAACAACTCCCATCCCAACTTGTCTCCTTCCGCTCGGCTACATGTTCTTTGCTGTTTTAATATTTAAGCCAATCAGAATTGATGTGGATGACACAAATTGAGAGAGAGAGATGCGTGTATGTATCATTTTAATAAATTTCTTAAAAGAAACAAAATAAAAATAAATAAATAATCTACTAAATGTTAGTTTAAAAACAAGAAAGTTGAAATAAAAATTTCGGGCCGTTCAGATGTGTGGTTGGAGAACAGCAACATGGCGCTGGTGTTTTCCAATGATAGAGAAACCAAATTTTCCCGGGCCCACAACTATTCCGATTATTAATGGCTTCCAACCGACGATGGAAATACCCGGAAAGTTGAAGAAATAAGGCTTTAATTCACACCATATGATTAAAAAAACAGTAGATAGTAAATATCAAATTATCAATCAAATATACATCACATATCCAACATAATTCAGATATCAAAATACAGAAGAAAGGGAGGAAAAGAAAGCGTGTCATGTTTTACACAGGGAAGACGGTATCTAAGCAAATGACATCTACGTTGGTATTTTAGACCATATCCACAAG